ACGGCTCCGAGTCGTGTTTCGCGTTCTCGGTCGTACGGCGACGCATCGCGGTCCATGTACGCACTGCGAGGGCGAGTGCGTCGGACCTTTGGCCGGACGTTGTCAGTGCCGCGACGAGAGAGCGACGGAATGAGATACATTCTCCGAGGGTGGAAAAAAAACCTTTACCGAAACTGGTCGGGAGCCGATGCACCCGAGGCCGGGCGCGCGGCGATGGTGTCGGGCCGAGACGACGGGACCGGCGGCATATGTGCGCGTCGAACAATACGCGCGACCCGGACCCGCCGGAATGGCCGACGGGCGCGAGGCTTGCGGGGCGGGCGGGAGTACGGGAAAAAAAAACCTCCTACGCGGCGTGGGGCTCGCACACGCATATGCGCGTGTATCCCAGTGCACGTGCGTGCACACACAATACTCGTTCCTGTCGTTCTCTCGGCGCGCGTATCCATCATGTTTTTTTTTCCTGGTAACGAGCCAACGAGAGCCACAAAAAAAAAAAAAAAAATACGAACACGGACGGACCCTCCGGTGTTTTTGTTCGTCCACCTCGGCTTTCGCTCGCCCCCGCTACGCGGTCCTATTCACTCGGATTTTTTGCCGATAGGAATTCCGAAACAGACTTACGAGAATAGCAAAAAAATAAAACCGTCTCCGGTCCGTCGCGCTGCGCGTACGATACACGCGCACGTACACCGCGCGACCGATCAACCCGTTGCCGCGAGAGATGTCGCGTACGTTTTCCCGTACGGAAAGCAAATCGGTGGGGTAGCGCTCGTCCTGGGGATTTGCGCCGAACATCAAACGGGCACCGATGACGATAGGAATATTATTATTCGTCGCGACACCTGCGAACAGCGGTTACGCAATGATAACGCGTCACCCGCGCGCACGGGCATGACGACGGCAAGACAAGGGGGGGGGGGGTGCGTCCCCGCGGGGGTCCGTTCGCCTATTATTATTATTAATAATATTAGTAATGTTACAAGTGGACACAGCGCGTCGTCGGAACGATGCCCGTTCGGAACACTTGGAGTCGTGCATGCCCATCGCGCTTCTACCGCGGAGACGTAACGTGTTGCTATTTCAGTTCGTACGATCCTGTGCGCACCGCGGACAGCGTTCGCAAAAGTAACCGTGACGTACGGCCTCAAAGTCGCCATCGTGCGCACGGTTGCCCTTATGATTTTTCCCCTAATTTTTGGCACCGACCGTCGCTGTACCGTTCAACCGTCCAACGAACCCCTCGCGAATGCGAAGGGCGCGAATCTCGCGAGTGAAACCGAAAATTCGGACGTATTTCGCCGTCGCTACAACCGTGTGCGTTCGTCGAGGACGAGAATTCCAGGAGGACGTTTTTCTCGGTGACGCCTGATGATTACGCCCGTTGTTTTCGCATTGTTGATTATTGTGTGCGTTATACACCCGGGCGTGATTTCCGTGCGAACCGATCTACACGGCGGCTGTCGCAAGTATGTATTGTAGTAATACACGTACCACACATTTATACGTATACGTTTAAAATGTTAATGTCGTACGCTCGTACGTTAATAAAGTCTCCGTATACAGTCGTCGTCACCGTACAGCCGATTTACATATTATATTACTGTATTATGTACACACGGGGGACGAGTGTCCGATCGAAAACGCTAATCAATACGCCGCCGCCATCGATTTCCCACGTGTTTGCCTAGATGAACGGAACGATAAAGCGCAGACGCACGACCGTTTCGGACTCGTATATTTTAATTCGTCGTTCTGCTGCCGCTGCAGGCCCCGCCGGATTTCACTCGTTATACGCCGCAACGTTTGTAATATATCTGTTCGGACGCGTTTTACGACGACTGTATTATCATTTTAATATTACGTACACACACACACATAAACACGTCAAACGTGCGACGTCATGATTCATCGCACGCCCGCGGTGTCTGTACCTGTGCGCGTGTGCGTGAACTGTAATTTATGCGCTCACACGCCGAACGGGCGTACACACGCGCCTCGTTTACATAAATAGATGGTAGAGGGGAAAACGGAATTGAAAAATAGGTACTGCACGACCAAGGCGATTTTCATGGGCGCGCGCCCGCGAGGTTTCCCATCGTAAACGATCCAATCAACGGAACCGCGTTGTGATGTCTTCGTTAAAACACGATGCACCGTGTGAAACGCTCGCAAGCCGCGGTTATTTACGTGTGTGTATTTCCCGAACGCATGTAGTGCACGCGCGAGTAACATTTTCCTGTAAACGTTCCCGGTTAAGGATACGTGTACGTGTTGTTATTGTCCTTTACGGCAGTGCGGCAGGACGCGTCGAAGCCATCGCGGGAAAACACGCGTACAAGGCGCACGCTTTTACGAACGCCACTTCACCTAGCATCCTCGATTCGCATCTAACATAATATAGCCCCGACTCGCTTTAATTCTGACGAAAATGTAAACGTATTTGTTTCACACAAGGAATTCTATTCGTTCTGTTCCCTCTACCTCAAGTCTCCTTTGATATATAGATTAACAGAAGTGTTTACACCTAATCCGAAGAGGTCTTATTTTTAAGTGTCCTCGATATAGTTACGCATTTGTACCTAACACGATCTTCGCTCAGAGGCATTCTAGAATGCGATAATGTTTTCCAATACATTTCCCAATTGGTATTAAAACCGTATGTATTGTTTGTATTCAATGTCTTAACAGATTTTATTGTAAGCTATACAACGAAAAAATTGTTAAAAATGTAACACATGGCGCGCATCAACTCATATTCGTAGTGATATTGACCGGGTTTTTAGAAAAAACTATATTCATGTTCGTCCAAAAAATAATATTTTTCCTTGGTCATTTCCTCCTCGCTTACTCTTACTTATCTATCCTTTCAGATTCGAGTTATAAAAAGGTGTACTCGATGCGTGTACAGTGTAACAAAACAGTAGCACTGTACACGCATTATCGGACACTATATTATACGGTCCGGTTTTTTTTTTTTTTTTACTACAGCTCACGCGTCAATTTCCCGTTCGCTCTATTTAGCCAATGAACGAATATTGCTTATTCACGCTGATCCTAGGAGACGACCCTTTGGAGAAAAATATGTGTAAATATACACTCTCAAAGTCTCATCAATATATATACATTGTACGTAGACTTGTGTGTTTTATACGCACGGACGTTGTCCTGTGAAAGCAGTAGCCTTTCTCGTCGACATCGGCAGCAGATTGGTTCAGTCCGCTCGCGCGCGTCATGTCGCAAATAAAAACGCCGAGCACATCGCGTGTATATCATATATATATATATATATATATATATATGCGGGGGCGATCGTATAATATTTTTATGCCGCTAGCTAATGCTGTACGGCTCACGCACACGTACAGGGATTCGAGGATTCGGTAGTAAAATCACATTTCGGATTCGTCCCCCGTTTTTGCGGATTAAGATTTCTATATATATATATATATATTTATACACAGTCAGCTTTCTGTCATTTCTGCCAGTCCCCCCAATCCCCCATTCTCTTCCCTTTTGGTTTTGTCTTACAATTTTGGATTTTCGGGAAATTGAACACAAAACCTTCGGTCGAATTTATATTTATTATGACGTAAGACGTATATATGTACACATACAATACCAGGAGCTTATTACACATACTGGAGCAGAGCGAAGTGCGTTTTTATATATAGATTTCGTATACGCAAGAGGGTTTACGGGACCGGTCGCATTAGCACACGAATGGCACGTTTTTCCGACGAAAAAATTAATCGATCATAAAAACTACCACAACGTTTTATCCGAAACAATACACTACAAAGTAATTGCGCGCGTAGAGTCTCATGCGGTACGCGTATAAGTATTATGGATTTTATTATTGCACACGCGCGTTCTAATGATTGCATTTATATAAGTGCTCGGAATAGGTCGATCCCTGTTACCCGTGCACGCTTCGGTTGTACTCGTACATCGTACACGGAACGCAGAATACAACCGACTACGGTTGTTTTAACGGAATCGAGTTTACAACCATGTCAAATCTTTTTGTTCGTCCACCACGCCCGTTTCGGTTAAAGAAAAAAATTGATTTTAAATTTTACACCACAAACGTTCGTAGTACCAGCGGTCGTACAAAATAAAATTTCGATTGATATTTCTATTGCGATTTTGCTTTTAAATTTTGGCATCGCATCCAAAGAGATTTGAAGCAAATAAGACGATACGGTACGTCGATTATTAGATACTGATGGTAGTGGAAGTTCATTTGGTGATTTCGACGATACCGATGAAGATCAAACCAACGACCCAATGATAACTTCCGATTCAGACGAACAAAGTGAAATCAGTGACACCGAACATTTACAGTATATAATATTACTTGTTTCGAATCCTAGTGTTCAAATTTGGTCTATTGTAACAGGTAATAATCGAAAAAAGCTAACTTTTAACGGTTTCCCGAGGTTAAAAATTAATATACCAGCTAGTGCCACTGTTTGGGACTGTTTTAATTTATTTTTCACTGGCGACATTATTGAACTTATTGTTATTGAAACTAACAGACACGCGGAACAGCTTTTTTCAAATAATATAATTTCCAAGTATAGCAGGTACACAAGATGGGTTTCTACCGATTCAAATGAGATTAAATTATCTTCCGGCTTATTAATATGGATGGTACTCGTTCAAATGCCAAATTTAGAAAGTTACTGGAGCACCAAACTGAGATATAAAAACAATGTGGCACATAAAATCATGTCTATAAATAGCTTCCAAGATTTTGGCACTTTTCAGACAGTAACAAGCCCCCGGAAGATGATCGTATTTATAAAATACGTGATATAATTCATAAAATTGTAGACACATTTCAAAATGTAATGGAACCGGGAGATTTATTGGCCGTCGGTGAGACTATGATACCTTTTCGGGGCAGATTATTATTTAAACAATATATATCCGGTAAAGCTCACAAATACGGAGTTCAATTTTTTAAACTGTGTGAAACAAATGGTTATACTTACTTGGTCAAGTTAATGGAAAAGAATTTGGATTGAGAAGAGTTGTTCTAGATCTAAGTAGAAGATATTTAAACATGGGACGTACAATGGTCAGTGATAAATTGTACACTTCAATTCCACTTGCAAACGAACTTTTAAACAATGATACCCACATAGTTGGAACACTGCGAACAAACAGAGTAAAAGTACCTGAAATAACAAAAAAAAATTTAAGTCTTGGAGAAGTAATCGGAAAGGAAAATTCAGATGGTATTAATGACGTTGCAAAATGACGTATCACAGGGATATCTCAATTTTGTCGACCAAACATATTATTGATATAATTGACACAGGAAAAAAGAACAAAAAAAAAAGAAACCATTGCTAAACCTAAAATAATTGTCGACTATAACTCCGGAATATCAGGAACTAATCTATCGGATCAATTATTTAACTATAGTACAGTTGTTCGTAAATCTATTCGTTGATATCATAAGGTGGTGACAGAAATACTGTTTGGAACTGCTATGGTAAATACTTTTATAGTTAACAATACCATTAATTATGATAAAAAATGAAGATAACGCAATGAGAATATATTTTCCTTGTATGTTTATGGAGAACGTTAAGGATTTCCACGGCGAAAATAGTTTATATAAATTATATAATATAATAATGTTCTGTGAAAGACGCTAACAAGTATCCTTTTTAGATTGTAATACGCAACGCTGTATTATTAAGATCTCACAAGTTAGAAATATGAATTGCTTTTGCTAACGAATACGTTTCTCGAGATACAAGTTTTAAAGTGTTTCGAAAGAAAAACTTTTAATTACGAGAACATGGCACGAAGCGAGTGTTACGATGCGTATACGAGTATATGTATACGTTTATAAAATTACGTCACTGTTTTGCAATGGGTCGACGCAGCTGAAAAACCCATAAAGAAAATGACCAAAACACTTTCAATGTTTTTGCATTTTGACATTCGTTAGGATTTACGAGCCCACTCGGAAGGGGGATAGCTTCGAGTTCATTATTAAAGTATAAACAGAGTTCTCCGCGACAAAGCAAAATGATGCGTTACTTTACGAGATAATCATATAACTCCCAAGCCACAGAGAATATATTATTACACTGATGCGTAAATTATGTAAACGAAAAATATTCATTTATTTCATTATTATTTATATCGCTAAAGAAATTTAATTTGAATCTTAAACCACGAATAAAAACATAAGTCTTGTGGATATGTAGGTAAAAGAGAACTTGCCGAGTATTTTTTTTTTCATCTCGCTGGTTATCAACATTAGAAAAATATTTTTGTATTTCTCATCGAAACTTTTTGCTCGTTTTCAAAGTTATGATAGTAATAAAGCATAATGTATTTAAATTGTAAATCACTGATCCTTAACGATATTGTCCAAGATGAACAAACGTTCTGGATTTATCGTCGTTCAGTAAAGTTTTGTAATGTTGAATAAATTATAGTTTTGAAAGATAAACTATCGCGATATTTCGAAACGACTTAACAGATCAATATAAAATTGTAACCGAGAATATATAAAGTGGAATTTATTATAGTATTATACTAACTGACTCGACAAGGCTATTGCTATATTTCTCAATATAATATATATTGTTCTGCCAATGTATATTTATTTACATACATTAATATACAAATTGATTATATGCATATAATGACTGAATATTTAACTGGGCGAAATTTTTTGGGTCTTAAATATACTCGTGTTCTTTAGATATAAGCGTTGAAAAATAAATAAGCTTAGTAACTTAAATCTTACTTACATTGTATACTTAGATATATTACATTTTTGGAATATTTTTTTTTTTTTTACCACTTTAACTTAATGAAGTAGACAAAACGAGATAAACTTAAATCGTCTAAACATCTTTATTTTATGTTTCAATTCTCGTAACAATATTTTCAAAATATATTTTCTTCGAACAGTCTAAGTTAAATATTGATTGAGAATATAAAATAAATACATAAAAGCACAAAGTGTTCATATTTAGATGAAAGGAGTTCTACAGCAGTACAGACACATATTAAAAAAGGAAACATTTGCGTCTCTGTATATTATAAATAATATATAAAAACACTGAAATAATTGTTAAGTAATTCGTAAATGTATTACATTACGATTTAAATGGCATGTGCTAATTATCATCAAGCCGTTCGATTGGTTATGAATGTGTATGGAAATATTTTCTATGAAATTAAAAATCCAAAATTGCTTTTAGTCAATATTTACATTAAAACACAATGAATGAACTCGTTGAATGCATACCATTAAGATATAAGTGTATAGGTAGGTATGGTTTTAAATTATTCGAATAACATATTCCGTTTCGTGAAATGAAATAATTTATACCGATTGCGGTTGAATGTATAATTATAATGGATTGGTGTAACACGAAAAATTACTTAAAAAAAAAAAAAACAGCTTTCGCGCTTTAGCATAATACACTCACACACCGCCGACCGTCCGAACCATAGATACGAAAAATAATGTGACGTACAAACCGTGTTACCGTTGATAACGTTGGTACACTTAACCGTCTAAACTTGATTTTCGACCAAAACCCGGTTGCTCAGGGAGTAAACAACAGCATTATATACACGGTACAAATATTGTACAAGCCGACTTCGGCTGCAAGAACGATTCGAAATCGAATCAATAAACGTTATGAACAACATTAAAAAATCATTGTAAAATCGCAATCGGTACGTACTGGTCGGAGACCAAGAATGTCTTGTTCTCGGGAAGACCGCTGTTGCAGCCACGTAGTGTACGGTACAGAAATCGTGTTCCCGCCCAGCGTAATGGGGTGCCCATATTGATTTACCCTGGACGTCCTCTTTCTACGAACAGCCGCCCTGCTGCAACGCGTTTTGACGGAATCCCGAATTCCACCGCGCACCATCGTACAGTATATTACAGGGGTCGCCAACCAGTCGATCGCGATCTACTGGTCGATCTTTTTAGGAATACAGGTCGATCATTGTAAAATAATCCAATTAATCGGATAATGGGACTATTAGATTATTATTATGAAAAAAAAAATAAATAAAATAATTATTCTTTGGAGTTTAAACCTTTATTACTTTTGTTCATCAAACAAATCTCTTCCTAAAGACCTAAATTTTCCTTGATGTCGATCACCAGGGACTTAAATGTCAAATGTAGCTCACTTGTTTGAATAGGTTGGCGACCCCTGGTATATTATAATGCAGGCCCGTGTGACATGAAATCGTCATAATACACTGCGCGTAGCAAAGACACGCGCATCACGATTTATCTACGAAATGTAGCGTACGTTCGGTGAAAAATAAAAACGATTTCGAATTCGGAAAATGGTAGTATGTAAGTGCAATCGATTACTCGTCGATTGGCTCCGTGAAAAATAACGATATGTATGTTTTGGGTAATGTCTATAGTATTGATTCCGAACGATTACGGTTAATGTGAAAATAACATAAGCGTACAACTGCTTAGCAATAAATAATTCAAAAGTAACAAACACCTATTTATACGATAGTATATATTGTATATAACATTACTTGTATGATTTAAAGTAAAAAAAAAAAAAAAATGCTTATAGTACACGAACGTCTATTTTTGGATCGTGTCGTATTCATAAATTTGTTAAACGATCATTTTTGTATAAGAAAAATTAAAATTAAATTTATTTTTGGATACAGCTACATGTTTTTGTATTCGTATATATTTAAGTACAAAATATTTCTCAGAAACCCGATGCAGATATGTATACCGATGTTGTACTCTAGAAAAATGATCTGGAATGAGACGTAATGAGCTTAAAAACAATCTACGATTATATTCGTTTGATAATTATCTTTTAAATGCATTACAAATAATAAATATTTAAATATAAATAGCCTATAATAATTATAAATATATTTCTTTATTTAAAAAAAAAAAAATAGGAAACTCGGTTATTTTATTTCCTAAAACTAAAGACATGTAGAAAAATAATAGGACATTTTGTTATTTTCCATAGTTTCGAAAAACTATAAATTATGTTTTAGATACTTAGTTAAAGTTTTCTTGTATTTAAAATGCGATAATTTTTCAAGGAATTCAAGATTTTTTTTTCGATGACAATTATTATGAGATTTAAGATTACTTGATTTTGAAACGGGTACATGTAGTCATATCATGGTTTATATGAAAAATATTTACTCGTGATGCATATGATAAGAGTTTCCTTTACCATACAACGTTAAATCAATAAGTATATATACATGTATGTATTGTAATACCTACATTTTTTATTATTTTATTTTGTAGTTTATTTTTTACATGAACCGCGTGCACAATAAACAAAACAAAAAAATATTGTGGATACACTTCTTTGAAGTTTTTTGGTAAAATAACAATCTACCTCATTATTTTTAAATATTTATGAGAATTATGAGATTTGACGTAACATAACTCTACAGTACAAGTATTCATGTAACAAGTTCTGCGTGGTTTTCTATATAAATAATATTAACCGGAATTACACGTTACAAGTAAACTGCAGTTATATAACTATATCACCTACATATTTATGTACACATATTTCAAGATGTTTGCCTAATAAAAAAATTTTAACCAATACCTATTTCTCAGCGTAATAATAACGTGTATGATAAGATTAAATCGTAACATTTTCGTAAGTAAAAAAACAACAGTTTTAGTGATTGAATGGACGCACATTTTGTCCAAACATTGTAAATGACACGCTATTAAAAATAACTGCTGTTGAAACGAATTTCAAACGTTTCAAACATGATTTATTCTAACGTTTTGGATTTTATTGCAGTTCTCGTTGGAAAGGAATACTATTTTATTCGCGTATTTCCTACAAAATTCTCTCAGTTTTTCAATGAATTATTCTGTTACTAATACACAATTATTCCGAGAAAATAATTGAATCGTATATGAATTGAATAGTGTTATTGATGTTCAAGCTTTTGTGCAACCTATCCGAATCATAAGTGGAATTTTTACGTAAAAAATACGCATGTGCAGTTGTCTATTTTTTCCGTCACAATTTATTTTGATCGGTCCGCAAGACTGATAAGTGTACTCCGGGTTCATAGATCGATGACGATAATGGTTACAGTACGAGCACATAGATGCGAGTACGCGTTACGCGCAATCATAATCGTGTCCGTG